TACCCCCAATGAGATGGATTGGCACAGTGCCAGCAACAATGGGCCCAAGCGTAGCAGCAATTGTAAAGATGGCACAAGACCAGGCGGTGTTTTGTTCTGTTGCACACAGGGTTTCTGTGAGTCGGAACCAACTCAACAGCACCTAACAATAACAACAAAGCCTGTCTGTCAGTTAATCATACTGCAGTGGCTTGTGTGCTACTGTGACGCTTGCAGTTGTGCTTTCAGATACCAGCATGGTCACCATAGTGGACAGAGTTCAGTGGAGCTTTTATACTATGTCAGACCTAAAGATCTGAAAATTAGCCAAGGAAAACCCAATAGGTTAAAGTGCAAGAAGATGAGCAATGAGCCCCCCTGGGTTGGAGGTACTACACAATAGCTTCAACAGTGAACTCAAACATGATCGTGAAGATGGCACAGGAAAGTGTTTTATTCTGCTATACAAAAGTTTGCGTTGAGTCAGAGCCAATACAAAGCAAATAACAACAATAAAATTGGGGGGGGCGGGGCTTCTATATCAGTGGTAGACCCCACAACCCTATAAATGAGGAGCATGAAGCTCAGAGAAAGTGCATGACTTGTCCAGAATCATTCAATGAATGAGTAGCACATATGGGCTATACCTCCTGGCCTATTTTGATGCCAAAGCCCTTAGGTTTTATACTACACTACACAGCTGCACAGACTTAGGGATCCAGTACATCTGAGTTTAGTCTGCCTCTCCATCTCCATCCCCCATCCTACTTCACCCCTTATTAGCATGGTAGGTGTGCACCAGGGATTTCTCCTCCTTTTTATGTTCTTTATCTGTGCAAAGGGAGAAATCATATCTTCCTTCCAGGGTTGTGTGTGGGCTCTGTGTGAGCTAAAATGCTTGGTACAGTGTAATAGTAGCTGTTCAACAAGACTAGTCTCCTCCCCTTTAGAAATAAGATATATAGAGGACAGTAAAAAGAAAACAATCTAGAATGTGGCTGTACGGTAACGCCAATGAAACGTTTATGTCAAAGGTAATGACTTTATTTTGTCTGTTTTGCAAGTTTTGGAATCGGGATCCTTTCTTTAACAGATGTAGATAAGGAGGTGTCCTGTTTGGCCTGTATGTGCAGAGAAGGATCTATGATGCATTCTTCAGCTGGCACAACAGGCTGATGTACAACATCTCATTTTCTAGTATATCAAAGCCTAAAACCATTCATTAATGAATGGCAGGTGTGGTTTCCTGTCATCTATATCATTAAGAAAAATCCAAACTAGTCATATGATATTTAAGTCGCAGGTACTGTATTGAGCAATGTAAAAACTTAAACATAGGTTGGTTTTGTTGTTTGTGCCTTTTTATTCCAATTGTCTGAAGACAGATTTTAATTAAATTGCTGCAGCCATACAGGTGTATTTTTGCATGATACATTGATGTCACAAAACTCCAGTTCCCACTAACTTTTTTTTAATGTTTTATTGTGAATTATGTAATAGTTTACATGGGAAAATATTACTTTTTACATTCATCCTATCATTTATCATTTCATTGCCATAGTTACAATCCCCTCCATGTATCATCAACCAACCAAAGGGTATACCCTACAAGCCTGCTCCCCGGTCGTCAGCACACAGCCCCTCTCCCTCTCTGGGTCTATAGTCCCCAGCCTCTCCATCTCTCTATATCACCATCTCTGCCTCCATCTCTGGCATCACTGCTTCTCTGGATAGGGTCCTGCTCTCCCCTCTTCTCCCTTGATGGTCCCAGGGACCTCTGCTCCTAGACTGCAAAGTTAATCACTCCTCTCCTTAGTACAAAACATTTACCTTTGCATTTCCAACCCTCACAATCAGTCCCGATAACAATTATTCACTATTGTATCACAAGAGACCTATCCACATTTTCTTTCATCAGCCCCGCCTAGAAAGATTGGTTATTACTTACTGGAGATTCTACCTTCCTCCACGCCCTCTGGATCTAGGCTCCCTCTTGAAAGCTTGTAAGCCAGTCACTTCTTGCCTTTGTAGCCCCCCCACGTTGGGTAGCCAATGTCCAAGTTGACCATCCCTGTCTACTCTGTGTATGGAGGGGGTGGGAATGATCCTTGCTGTAAGGATTTATTCCCTCTTTTGAGCTACTGCATCCATAGGTGTAGGTCAAGTTCATCAAATTGTATCAGATTACTTTTTTTCCCCTCTTCTTTCTTCTTCTAGTTGAGCTCTGATCATCCAGTTATCGAAGCTAGGTCAAGTGGGTATTATCTGCAAGTGTGGGTATTCTTGTACATATGCCCTCTATTCTTATCAGCTGGACCCCACTAACTTATAAATAAGATTATGATTGGGATCACAACCTTTCCTGGACCAGACAGTACATTAGAGTTTTTGTGATACTTAGTGTATTCTGCCATCGAATCAGTTCTGACTGATAGCAACGCTGTATAGGATTTCTGAGAGCAGCTGGTGAGTTTAAACTGCTAACCTTGTGCTTATCAGTCCTGTGCTTATCCACACCAGGGCACTTTGTGACACTAGTAAATTTCGTTCACCTTTTGCCCTTTTAATTAACTTTATTAATTTGTTATTCATTGTCAACAGCTTTAAGGGTTCTAAAATTCACAGTCATCCAGATTTAATTTAGTTGAGTCCAGAATGTTGCCCAATCTTACTCTAAACAGCCAATTGGTTAATATAGTTATATTCTTTGATGGAAATTTTCATGACATCATGAGCTGACAAAATGCAGGCCAAAGCCCCAAGTTTTGTCCTTCACATACTCCACCCCAGTCCCAATGCTGTTTTCATACCTGCCAGACCCTTTCCCATCTCAAGACCTTTGCACCTGCCACTTACACCTCCTGGAATGCTCCCCCCGTTAAAGCTATTCAGTAAAATACCACCTCCTTAATGCAACCTTCCATGGTCACCCCAACACTCTCACATTTTTTATCTCGCTTCTCTATAACACATATTCTCTTCTCATACACTCCATAAACTGCATTTGTTTATTGTCTTTGGAAATCCACTGGAGTGAAGCAGGAACTTCTGTCTGTCATGTTCCCAGCACATGAAAACAGTGCCTGGCACTTCATATTCATAGGTGATTATAAATACTTGTTGAATAAATTAATAAAAAATTCTGTGTTGGATCAATACTACTGGTAAGTCACTCTTGTCAATGAACATTTATTCATTCAGAAAACGCTTTCTTTCCTCCTGTCTCTAAAGGCAAGGTGTATGCCAAGCCCCTGGGAACTCCAGAGTATAATCCCAGCCCTGGCATATGAAACTAAACAAAAGTTTGTTAGATCTGCCTTTGTCCATTTCTGAGGAAGCAGAAGAGCATGGGTCATGCCTCTTTGCCCAGCAGTAACAACCTGTTTCCACCTTGGCTCTCCTACTGGACCTAGTGCTCTGTGATTGTTGTGTTTGCCTGGATTCATGTAGCAGCATGCTGTTTGAGTGCAGGATTGGTGACATGAGGCAGGGTTGGTCACGTGCCTTCCTTCTCAAAGTGTGATCCAGAGACCAGTAGCATTAGCATTAGTATCACTGGGGAACCTATTACAAATGCAGACTCTCAGATCCAACCAGACCGCCTGAACCAGAATCTGCAGTCTGTCAAGGTCCCCAGGGGATTGCTGGGCACATTAAAGTTAGAGAAGCACTGCCTTAAAAAGTAGTAAGACCTACACCTATGGAAGCAGTAGCTCAAAAGAGGGAACAAGTCCTTACAGCAAGAATCATTCCCACCCCCTCCACACACAGAGTAGACAGGGATGGGCAACTTGGACATTGGCTACCAAAAATGGGGGGTGGGGGGCTACAAAGGCAACAAGTGACTGGCTTACAAGCTTTCAAGAGGGAACCTAGACCCAGAGGACCTGGAGGAAGGTAGAATCTCCAGTGAGTAGTATTCAATCTGACTAGGCAGGGCTGAAGCAACGAAATGCAGACAGGTCTCTTGTGATACAATAGTGAATAATTGTTATCAGGACTGACTGTGAGGGTTGGAAATGTAAGGGTGGATGTTTTATAGCAAGGAGGGGAGTGATTAACTTTTCAGTCTAGGTGCGGAGGTCCCTAGGACCATCAAGGGAGAAGAGCAGAGAGCGAGACCCTACCCAGAGAAGCAGTGATGCCTGAAATGGAGCCAGAGATGATGATGTGGAGCGATGGAGCAGCTGGAGACTCTAGACCCAGAGAGGGAGAGCAACTGTGTGCTGAAGACCTGGGGGGTACAGGGGAAGGATTGCATGGAGGGGATTGTAACCATGGCAATGAGAGGATATTTGATAGAATGAATGTAAAACTAATGTTCTCCCATGTAAACTGTCACATAATTCACAATAAATCATTTAAGAAAAGAAAAAAAAAGGTATATTGCCTGATACATAGCAAATAAATGTTTAAATAATGAAGAAAAAAAAAGTAGTAAGAGTTTTATCTCCTATGTATAAAGGACAGTGAGTTCCAGCTGGAAGACACCCCAAGTAAAACCAGCAGATAGTCATTGAAACCCTGCCATATTTAAGGCAATAGGGTTAATAAATCTTGGGTTAGGATTACACATTCCTGCTCAGGGAATCAAGGCCAACCATTAAGCTGGCATCTAGCATATTAGTCGGAATAGTTCAACAGCACTTAACGACAATAGCAGCAACAAAGCAAAGCATATTAGTACAGAACGTTTCATATATGTATGGTAGATCCACCAACAGTCAGTGGTTCTGATATTAACTTTAGATACCTGCTAGCCACTCAGCATGAAAATTCCCTTCCCACTGCAGATCCTGAAACCATGGGAATTTCTCTTTCAGTCTTTCCTGAATGTGACAATAATGGCCGGATTATTAAACAGTGAATCCTGTCACCTGTAAAGTTCTGGATGGATATGATATGCTGTCTAGTTAGAACATTTCAAACAGTTTAAGTTAGAATTTAGGATTAAAATGAAAGCAAGAGATAGAAGCATGGCACATCATTATAAACATTTGCTTTCTTTTCTGAAAAATCAGGGATGTTCTGCCATTTACTTTGAAGTTGCCTTATGCCATTTCAACAGCCAAGACGGAGGCTCAGCTGGAAGAACTAGCCCAACTGGGACTGAGTAAGTAGGTGCCCCTTCCTTGGGCACATCTTAGAATAAACACTTGGGTTATAATTGATGTGAAGCAGAATAAGGCTATATTGTTATATTAAATGCACCTGTGATTAAAAATAGGAGTCCTGATGTGGTGTTGTAGGATAAGCACAGCTATTCTGTGGGAGAAAAATAAGACTTTCTTCTCCCTTGAGGACTTACAACCTTGGAAACCCTATACGGGGCCGCTCTGAGTTGGAACCGACTCCATGGCACATAACCACCACTAATTGAAAGGACCATGGTTCAATCCCACCAGCTACTCTTTGAAACCCATACAGGGTAGCTGTAAGTCAGAACCAACTCAACAACACTTAACAACAACAACAACATAGTTGAAACTAATCTCATCTCCATGGCAAAGTGCAGCTTTCAAGGCCGTAAGATCCCTGAATCAGACTTTGTGAGATTCTCTTTCCAAGTCAATATGCAGCCTACTCTCAAACAGACTGGTGCTGATTTTGGCTGGGTGTCCCCCAGATACCCACTGCTTCTCCCATTACTGAGTTTGGACTACCCACAAACTCAAAGTTCTAATGTACTGTGAACATCTGCAATGTATCTGTTCTCCTTTCTGTGGCATCTGCTGAGGAAAAGCAGTATTTGATGAAGAAAAGCAGGCTTTATTTCCAAGATGGCCTGCATAATTGATAGAGAAATCTGACAGTTTCAAGTGCCCTTCTTAAACTTAGATTGCTTCCAAGAATTGCCACATGTGTCTACTTGATGATTTGGGAAAGAAAATGCTGGTCAAAATGCAGGACCACATAAATGTTTCCATTTCATAGTTGCCCCATGTCTTGCAATTAAGATTTGTATACCTTTGAAAAGAGTTTAAAGTATTATTCTGAATTGAAGCTCATATAATCCACTAAATGCTAGGCATCATGAAGGCATGAGTCAAGCCTCAGTCTTCTCTGGTGAACTCCCTCCCCATGGTCCCTGGCCATGTTCAGCACTGGGCTGAGAGGTTGAAGTGTCACTGACACTGTCACTCTGGTTGTGCAAACAGCCATTACCCTGAAGCAAATGAAGTCTCATTAATGCTTATTCAACTTTTGACTTATCAATGTTCACAATAGAAATCACATTGTAAAATCCTGTACCTACCTTACTTAAGGAGCTCTGGTAGCATAGTGGTTACGAATCAAGCTGCTAACCCAAGGTCACCAGTTCAAAACTACCAGCCATTCCTCAAGAGAAAGATGAGCATTTCTGCTCTTGTAAAGATTTACAGCCTCGGAAGCCCTGTACAGGGTCCCTATGAGTCTGAATCGACTCCACTGCACACCACCACCTTAATTATTTGTTCATCCAATAACTATTTGTAGAGGGTCTGTGTGGCAGGTAGTATTCCCCGCTGCTAAGTAAGATCCAGTGGTTAAACCCAATGTCTCCCCTAACCCCAGTGTTCATAATTTATATGGGGAAAGAACACAGATGTGAGGTAGGTGTGGTGTTGTTGTTAAGTATCATAAAGTCAATTCTGACCCATAGCAACCCTGTATAGGGTTTCCTAGGAGCAGTTGGTGAGCTTGAAACACCAAACTTGCGGTTCAAACTGACTTTACAGTCCAGTGCATTAATCCACAGCACCACACCTTGAAATCTTACAGCTATGGCAGAAATCCAAGGAAGACCCAAGGGGGTGGGACATGTACTGACCTCTAGAAAAATATAGGAGCCCATAGGTCATTTAAAATTTTCTCATAGCTAAAAAAAAAGCCACATGCACACAAAAAAACCACTAAAATTGATTTTAATAGTACATTTTATGTAGTATGTCTAATATATTATAATTTCAACAATTGATATCGAAAGTTATTAATGAAATCATTTTCATTCCTGTGTAATGCTCATTTTTTAAAATCCAGTCTATGTTTTACACTTAAAGTCCACCTGAATTTGGGCATTAAATTTTCATGATCTGCATTTAAATTTCACTAAATTTACATACTTAAAAGTTTTCCAGTGCCTGAATTGAGTACCAGTTTTTCATTTAAATGTACTAAAATTACAGTAATATTAAAATTCCATTCCTCCACTTACTAGCAACATTGCAAGTGTTGAGTGGCTACAGTGTGGCTGTGGGCTCCCTGCTGAATAGCACAGACCTAGACAGGAGTTTTGGGGTAGCGCCGTAGGATAAGCACTAGACCTCAAGTTCTATTTGAACTGCAAGATTGGTGGTTCAAGCTCACCAGGTGCTCCTGAGAACCCCTATACAGGGTTACTATGAGTCAGAACTGACTCGACAGCACTTAACAACAACAATAGAGAGGACAGAAGGAAGGACACAGAGAAGGCCCACAAAGCTGGGTCACACATTTCAATACCAGACCATGGCTTACAGCACAGACCATGTGGGGAAAGGCTGCCAACAGAAGCCTTCCCCATATGACACCAGCCATTCTGGGAACATACTATAAGCAAACACAGCAAGGCCGTGAAAGAGAGAGAGCAAAGAAGTTATTCCAAAAGGAAATTGCCTTTCTCACCACCATTGCCTTTCTCAATTTGCACAGAAAACAAGGAGACACGAGTGGTATAGATGCAGTAAACAATCTGCAGGTCTCCAGAGTATTTAATAGTTATAGCCTTGTTAAGGAGGTTACTGGATTTGGGAAGCCACCAAGCTAAATGCTTGAACCAGCACTTTATGTTTGCTGTCGAGTTCTTTTGTTTTTTTTCTTTTTTTTTTTGCTGATGGGATGGACCCATGAGTATATTTTTCCTTCTTGCTGGGTTTTAATGCTGAACACGTAAAACCTCATATAAACTGTGTAAACCGCACCCTCCCCGACGCAGCTGCCAGTCCTGCCTATGGAAGGGGAACTTCGAGTCCCGATTCCTTGCCTGGTGGCCGCTCTGCCCAGGGTGCCTCAGAGGAAGCTAGTGGGACTGGGTGGTGGTGTTTTGCACATTGACTCCATTTTTGTTAAGTAGGCAGCCTCATTGACTTTTCTCAAGCTAATACTGTAACAACTCCAGCTTTTTTTTTTTCCCCTCCCAACATACCTATGAAAAGGCTGGGTTGAAGCTGTAAACTGGCCAAGCCATTTCTGAAAGACTTTGAAGGTAGAAAGTCCCTAGAGCCTTTCTGTGGGCCCACAGCTGAGCCTGGCATATTCTCAACTCTTTCCAGTAAGGGAATTCAGTAAAGGCACATGCTCCTGCACATACACACATACAAACAACCCCAAACCAAGTGTGATCAATGCCTTTCACTCCAAAGATGCCCTTTGTAACACAGTGTGCTTTTTGAATTTGTGAAGGAATGGCCCGAGTGTATTGTATTTACATTCTTGTGTTCACTGATAATAACTTTCAGATTTTTGGAGCTCTCCAGCTGACAACCAACCCCCAAACCCTCCACCTCCCCATAGGCCTCTCTCCTCAGACGGTGCTTGTCCCGCCTCGCATCAACTCTGCCTCATAAATGGAGTGCATTCTATAAAAACCAGGACGCCTTCAGAGCTGGAGTGCAGCCAGAGCAACGGAGCCCTGTGTTTTATTAATCCTCTTTTCTTGAAAGTGCACAGCCAGGACCTCAGTGGAAGCCTGCAGCGGCCCGACACAAGGACTCCAAATGTGAATGGCACCGAAAGGCCTCGGTCTCCCCCACCCAGGCCCCCGCCACCCACTATTAATAGTCTCCACACAAGCCCTCAGCTGTCCAGGACTGAGACCCAGGAGAGCATGCCAGAAACAGTCAACCATAACAAACATGGGAACGTAGCTGTGCCTGGAACGAAACCAACGCCCATCCCTCCGCCCCGACTGAAGAAGCAGGCTTCTTTTCTTGAGGCAGAAGGCAGTGCAAAGACCTTGAACCATAGCCAGCCTGGATCTGGGGGCTGGCCTGGAACCGGCCACGAGCCGGAGCTGGGCACAGCTGGCAGCCCAGGTGGGGCCCCGCCCTCGGAGACACCAGGAGATTGCACAAGGGCCCAGCCTCCCTGCTCTGAGTCACGGCCCCCATGGAATGGAGGCAGACAGAGGCTGAGCGACATGAGCATTTCTACTTCCTCCTCCGACTCCCTGGAGTTTGACCGCAGTATGCCTCTCTTTGGCTACGAGGTGGACACTAACAGCAGCCTAGAGGACTATGAAGGGGAGAGTGACCAGGAGACTATGCCTCCCCCAATCAAGTCCAAGAAGAGGAACAGTTCCTTTGTGTTACCCAAGATCGTCAAGTCCCAGCTCCGGAAAATGAGTGGTGTGTTCAGCTCCTTTATGACCCCTGAGAAGAGGATGGTCAGGAAGATCGCTGAACTGTCCCAGGACAAGTGTACCTACTTTGGGTGCCTGGTACAGGACTATGTGAGCTTTCTGCAGGAGAACAAGGAGTGCCATGTGTCCAGCACCGACCTGCTGCAGACCATCCGGCAGTTCATGACCCAGGTCAAGAACTACCTGTCTCAGAGCTCAGAGCTGGACCCTCCTATCGAGTCCTTGATCCCCGAAGACCAAATAGGTAAGTTCCCATGGCCTTTATTTCTATATATATGCATATACACAATTAAAGGATATGCTTACTATTTTTTAATATAAAGCATATTGTTGGTCTTGTAAGTGTACCTTGTACGATTCCCAGAGAAATTCAAAACAACCAACCCCATCCCCTCACCCATGCACATCAAAAGTCAGCTTCTTAAAGGAGACCTTGCATTCTTCTTGGCATGCCATGCTTGGAAATGTTTTAGGAAGCAACTGATACAAACTGTGAGATGATTCTGCTGGGAAAGGGATTTGTGCTACTTTGCCTTCAGGGGTGTCCTGTGGACCACGTGTGCCATGTGGACCAGGTGTGCTGTGTGTGTTAAATGTCTTTGAAGAGTTTTCGGAAAGTGTGTCTCTCTGCAGGTTGGGCATACTTAGAAAGGTCTCCTGGGAGACAGCGCATTCTGGTTTGTCTGGGGATTTTTTTTTATTAAGATGTAGCACACACTCACAAGTGTGTAAAGGCCATGGATGTGCACCAGGATGGATTTTCACGGTGAACACACCTGTGCCAGAAGCCCTGGTTCAGTTATCAGAAGTTGCCAGCACTCAGAAGCAAGCCTTGCGGTTCAAACTGACCTTGTGGTCCAGTACTTATCCTATAGCGCCACACCAGGTTTATGTTGTTGTTAAGTTTTGGTGAGTCAGTTCTGACTCATAGCCACCTTGTCTAAGGTTTCCAAGGAGCAGCTGGTGAGTTTGAACTACCAACCGTGTGGCTCGCAGTCCAGTACTGCACCACACCAGGAGTCCTTTAAAATAAGTAACATAGTTGGGAGGTCGCACAAAAGGTGTTTTCCACAAAGTCAAGGAGAAATACTTTATAACCTTGCTCAAGCACTGAATTGTTAATACTTACTTTGACCAAGAGAAATAAGCAGTGTGTACCCCCACCCCCCAGGAGCTCTGGTAGCATAGTGGTTACGACACGGGCTGCGAACTGCAAGGTCAGCAGTTCGAAACTACCAACTGTTCTGCGGGAGAAAGATGAGGCTTTCTGCTCCCGTAAAGATTTACAGCCTTGGAAACCCTGTACAGGATCACTGTGAGTCAGAACCAACTCCATGGCACATAACAACAACAACAACACCTCCACCCCCATCCCCAGAACGAATATTGGAGGAATTTTCTTCCCGCAGAAGTTTAGCTCTTAAGAGTTCACTTCAGAGACCTCATCCCTTCAGCAGAACAGCCCACAGAACTACAAATCTTTCCAGGCAGCTCCTAAAACTAAAATCAGATTTTGTCCCTCAGATCGGGTCTGTTTATTGAAGTAGTAAACAGTGTGTGGTAGAAAGTGGTTTCGCTCTCTCTCTCTCTCTCTCTTTGTTTTCCTCTTTCTTAAAGACAGTTTCAGCAGCTCTTGTATTTCACACAAAGGAATCAAAGCCTTGTTTGTTTTCTTGTGGTTGGACTGAGCTGGGTTGATGGGGCGTGGCTAGAACTGGGATGTGGCTAGAAGGAATGTTCTCTGGTTGTGTGTCTGAAATGTAAAAAAGCCTAGGGAAGAAGGCAGGAAAATTACACAACACCCTCTTTCCCCAGTCCCACCAGAGCCCCCTTCTCATGTAAGAACAGTGCCAACAGGCCTGCCTGGGAAGCTTCCTCTCAGTAGGTCTAGGGCTATGGCAAGCAGGAATGGCTGATGTCAGTGTGGAGCTATGTGGCTGTAGCACCAGCCAGCCCCCAAGGAAAAGCTCACAACTCAGCCTCAATTTCTTCCCAACCATTTTTTCCTACTGGGAAGCTCTTCAACCAGCTTCTTTTGTAGTGAAATCCAAGTATGTACTCAAAGACTGAGTTTCTCCAGACTTGTAGATACTTTGTAGATCCAAAAGGATGCAGCGTTTTACTGTAAAACTAAGGGCCTGATACGAAGGGAAGGAGCCCTGGTAACTGGTAACATAGTAGGTTATGAGTTGGGCTACTAATCACAAAGTCAGTCGTTTGAATCTGCCAGCCACTCCACAGGGGGCAGGAAATAAGACATTCTGCTCCTATAAAGAAAGATTTACAGCCTCAGAAACCCTATATATACAGGGTCACTATGAAACAGAACCGACTCCACGACATGCCACCACCACCACAAGAAAGCAAGTGTCACTACTGGAGCCTCCAATATGAACTGGCAGCCCACCAACCTACTTCAGAGGCCCTTACCTCATCCAGTGAAGCAGACATCAGCATCCCCTGTTGGAGGGAGTAGACCAAGTGTTTATCAAGTGGGGCAATTTGTCCCAAGGCCATACCAACTAGCAATTAGCAGATGCCGTATTTAAGCTTTCTTCTGTGATTTGAAGCCCATATTTTTCTAACCTGACTCCTCTGCGGCTTTTTATGTTTATAGAGAAGCTGTTTATAACTCTTACAACTTCCCCCAGAAATTAGGGGGAATGTAAAAGTAAGCTACCTCTTTGTTCAGGTAGCTCAGACTAAAGCTCTCTGGTGAGGTTTGGGTGTGCCCTCCTTAGGCACTGAACAGTTTTATTGTTGGTTTGTATTAAAGAGATCTGGATACTGGTGTGGCACTGTAGGAGAGGACAGTGCATCATCATATCAGTAAAACCTTTATTCTGTTTTGAACCCACCCCAGTGCCATTGAGTCAGTTTTGATTCATAGCAAATCTATAAGACAGAAATTAATTGCTCCTTAAGATTTCTAGGATTTTAAGCCTTGACTGAAACAGTCTCATCTTTCTCCTGTGGAGTAGCTGGTGGATTTGAAGCGCCATCCTTTCACTTAGCAGCCCAATGTTTAACCCATTGTGCTACACCCATTGTGGTACCAGGGCTCCTTTTTATTTTGAAAGTACAGTAAGAGTCCTGGAGTTCTGAAATTAGGAGTAAAGTAAACAGGTTACCTTGAAAAACTCATAACAAGGAAAGATGTGGCCCTAATTACAGTGCAGCCTATAAACAGGGGTGGATTCACCACTGATTAGGCCGTATTTATCTTGTTTACTGGGTACTCCATCCCTATTAGGGATTATAAATTTGAAAAGAGGCTTTGATTCTATAGGAACCTTCCTACAGACAAATGTCAGCCACACCTAGAAGCAGACTCTTTGATGTGGAGAAAAAATGTGAAATTGTTCATATTAGTCAGTAATTGTAAGTAATCACAAGTAAGGCATGTTTACCTTCTTTATTGAGTAATCTGACACTGCCTTTGAGAACTGGAATTCAACAGGATTACCTTGTTGTTCTGAGTTTTGCAAGCTTCCCACTTTGGGTAGGGTGCATTTTTACAACTTTCTCTCACTGTTAGTGGAATCCTGGTATGGCACTATAGGATAAGTGCTAGACTGCTAACCACAAAGTCGGCAGTTCAAACCCACCAGCTACTCTTCAGAAACCCTACATCGGGTTGCAATGAGTCAGAACAGACTTAACAACCACAACATCACTATTAGTAGAAAATATTTGAGGTTTCCTTTTTTGAAAGGTTTCCATCATACACAAATTCCAGCTGTCACAAATTTTATTGTACTAGAAAATCAATACCTTAAATGTATGATTTACTAGATTAGGACTCTGACAAGAAAATGGGCTTGATCTAATTGTTTGTTTTACATATTCCTAGTCCTAGTGTGGTGCTGTGGGCTAATGTGCCAGACTGCAAAGTCATTTGAACTGCAAGGTCGGTGGTTCAAGCTCACCATCTGCTCCTTGGAAATCCTATACAGGGTCGCTATGGGTCAGAATCGACTCGACAGCACTTAACAACAACAACAATCAAAGGATATGCTCATTTACTAAGGATTTGTATGAGTCCTGGTGTGATGCTGTAATATAAGCACTAGACCACAAAGTTGGTTTGAACTGCAGGGTCAGTGGTTCAAGTTCACCAACCACTCCTTGGAAAACAGGATAGCACTGAGTCAGAATCAATATGAAGGCGCTTAACAACAACAAGGACTTGTAAGTTAAGTCTCGTAACCAACTTGAGGTTGGTGTATTTTATAAGGATTATTCATGTTTTGCAAATTCAGAGTAGACTTGTAGAAGGTTACACTGCTGGTAATAAGCAGGGGAACGTGAATTCCATCTTCTCTGTTTAGATTGTGTACTCATTCCTACTAACTAACTCGCATTTCCTGGGAAGAACAGCAGATAGTTTTCACTTTAAATGCCATCCCCAGAATTCCAAGCCTCAAATTTGTTCAGGACAGGCATCTGCTAACGCTCATAGAATTTATCAAGAATGTCAGTTGCTTTTTTTTGCTTTAAAAAAATCTAGTCTTCTTTTCCCACAACTTCTGAAGGGGATAGTTCTTAACTACAAGACAAGAATTTTAATTTAAAGTCTAGGATTACAGAAAATTCATACTTAAAGTCAAGAAAGGAGGAGAAAGACCTGGTCGGCCAGCAGTATGGCAAGACCTGCCAGAGTCTGTGACATAGCCACAGAGGACTAGAGTGGAAAGTGAAGCGTCCAGCGGATAAGAAGAGAGGGCATATGCATAAGAACACCCACACTTGCAGATAATACCCACTTGACCTGGCTTCTATGGCTGGATGATCAGAGCTCAACTAGAAGAAGAAAGAAGAGGAAAAAAAGAGTAATTTGATACAATTTGATGAACTTGACCTATACCTATGGATGCAGTAGCTCAAAAGATGGAACAAATCTTTACAGCGAAGATCATTCCCACCCCCTCCATACACAGAGTAGACTAGGGCTGGGCAACTTGGACATTGGCCACCCAAAAAGGGGTGGGGGGGGGGGCGCTACAAAGGCAAGAAGTGACTGGCTTACAAACTTTCAAGAGGGAGCCTAGATCCAGAGGGCACAGAGGAAGATAGAATCTCCACTGAGTAGTAGCCAATCTGTCTGGCCAGGGCTGATGAAAGGAGATGGGGATGGCACTCATGTGGCACAACAGTGAATAATTGTTATCAGGACTGACTGTGAGGGTTGGAAATGTAAAGGTAGACATTTTGTAGCAAAACGAGGGGAGTGGTTGACTTTGC